CACAACACCAACAGTATAAACGACTACGCGTATACCTAGCAAAATTAATGGTCGAGTCGAAGCGAAATTTAAAATGAAAGAGGTATGTAGAAAAACTGGGTCTCGAAAAATACCTTAATAGATTCATGTTGGAGTACCTTTAATTTGGTTTGAAGAGGCGAGTGGAAGGGATTCGTAAATTTGTTTCACCGGAAGGTATAGGAGGATTTTCTTAGAGCTGTGATAATCGGTCCTCGGCTCACTGCCCTGCGACCCCGATTAATCCTTGCTGAACTCTCGTCCGTCATGTGACAGACACCGTGAGAGTAGGACACCACGCTTGACGATAATTCACAAAAGAAATAAGTCAAGAAAGATAGCCGGCTTCAAACCTACCTACTTCTTATATTTCAATTTGGTCCACTTAAACATCTCATGTTTTGGTTGTATATTATATGCTTTGCCTAAATGTTTGCTCAAAAGTTGAGCAAAACATAGAATATTCAACCAAAACATGAGATGCCTACGTGTACCAGATTGGACTATAAGAAGTAGGTAAGTTTGAAGCCGGCCACCTTTCTTGCCTTCATGTTTTTGGTCAGTTATCGTAAAGCATGGTGCGTTGTCCGTCATATGACAGACGAAAGCTCAGCAAGGATTAATCGGGGTCGCAGGGCGGTGCGCTGAGGACCTATTCGCACAAATCTACAATCACAGCCCCAAGGCAATCGCCCTATACCTTCCAGTGGAACCGATTTACGAATCCCTTCCATCCGCCTCTTCAAACGAAATAAAAGGTACTCCAACAAAATGAAAAAGGGTTTTCACACAAAAGAGATAATTTCAGTCTTAGAAGCGATAAAAGCAAATGTTAATAGGAAAAATAATTTGGTTGCAATAATAGAAATCAATCTAGTAAGCCTAGATAGCTGAATACTCAGGATTGATAGATACGACAAATTGAGAGAAATAAGAATGAGTAATGTTTCACTAATTTTCCCCTCACCTGCAGAATAGATGAAGTCGATCAGTTGCATAAGGGCGGCTGCATCAACGCCGTGAAGCTTAACGTTGGGCGCCCTGCTCTCCTCCAAACTTCCGGTAAACATTGCGTGAAAGTATGGCGAACTGGATGCCAATATGTTGCGATGTGCCGGAATCTTGATGTCGCCCGCCTCCAAAACCACATCGCAAAGGAGGCCCACGCTAAAGAGCCAAAATGACGAAATTTTATTTACAATAAATAACTCGATAGTTGATAGTAATAGTGGAATTATAATAGCAAGCGGCTCGTAAAATTAAATGAAACAAGGATGCTCGAAAAGGTGAGACACAGTAATATATATATATATAATAATGAAAGTGAGAATAACAATTATAATATTCAATTGCAGTTATAATAGTATCATATTCATGACAATAAAAGATACCCTTTTCAACACAACTATAAAGAGAATAATCGAAGGTATTAAGACCAAGATGGTGTGGCCTTTTGTATGGTCGCAGTCTCCTTTCGTT